GTGCTGGTAGTGGAGCGGTCGCTTGATGAATTCACGACCCACTCGAACTGTCATCAGATGCAGATTTGCACTCAGGTCATGCCACCCCAGCGAGCGATACGAGCCAGTAGCCGTCGCAACTGGAGGCGTAGTGGTATCATCCCTGGGGTTGCCCGAGTCTGCAGGGTGCTCATCCTCTGCGATGACGTGGTATGTGTAGACCTACTCGACTGTGAGTACGGCGACCACCTGGAAGGGCATACCATACATACAGGGCGGGTATCGGGGTGATTTATATGATCGGGATGGGGTATTATTAACAGGCGGTTCGTTTCCCATAGTAAACGCAGGTCGCGTCGGACTGCATGTGGGCTGTAAGAGAAGGTAAAAAGGACTGGCTATTAGCAAGCACGCACGGAATATGATGTTTGCAGGCGTGCTACAATAGACGGCATTAGAGTCAGTAGGCACGCGAAGCGTCGTGCAGTCGTTCTACAAAGCTGCCTTGTCAGCTGCGAGGCCGAAGTAGTAACCGCCCTACTCACTAACGGTTGGGGCGTGTCGGGAGGCAGGATGTAGCACGCCTCCACCTCAGCAGACACGTAGCCCGTAATCATGCATCGAGGGTGAGGTCCAAAAAGATCGCCATCCTTGAGTTTTGACGCGTCGCTCGGACTGTCAGACAACCGCCTTCTCTTTATACGGACCTCATCGGTCGTCGGGTCCGCACAGCGTTTTCGCTTCGGCGGGCGCGCGGTGGCTTCAAGTGGCACGTATAGGTCAATACGGGGGTGGACCACGTGAACAGCATCCGGGTCGACGACCCTACTCTTCGTGTAGTCGTGAGTGGAAATATGCCCAAGACCGAAACAAGCGCGGTCCTCGGCCTTAGTTGCGCCGCTCGAAGTGCCAGACGTCCGCGCTCTCTTTACGCGAACATCATAGGTGCTTGTGTCCGCGCATCGCTTCCGTTTCAACGGACGGGAGACGTATTCTAGTGACGGATCCACTGCATCGGGCTCGACGTCCCCGACACTTGTGCAGTCGCTGTTGGGTATATGGCCAAGACCGAAGAACGCGCCGTCATCGGCCCTGGTCGCGTCGCTCCAAATATCAGGCGGCAGCGGCCTCTCTGCGCGGACTTCATCAGTGCTTGTGTCCGCCAACCTTCCCCGTTTGAGGAGACGGGAAATGTCTTCTGGTAGCGAGTAGTCCGCGTCTGGTTCGATACCGATGTCCGTGCCGTCGCCAGTGGGTATATGCTGACAATAGTCATCAAAAGAGATAGATGGTGCACGGCTGAGTCCAGAGACGGGTGTAGCGGGCGGAGAGCTTTCGCGTGAAGAGCAGCTGCCAGTGTCGTCCGAAAGCGCGGGAGTACTCATTTCGCGAGGGGGGTGCTCAGCAGCGAGCATATGAGACGTATCAGGAATAAGGATGTAAAGGCCATTCATTTTTGCGTCGACTGTATCGCCAGTTCAGCGAGGTAGTAATGATGGTGTAGCACCAACAGCGCGCGCCACCAGTGCCTTTAGCGGCTGCTTAGTCAGCGCTTCTCTCGGAGATCCCCGGCACCAATCATGTCCTGACTGGACGGTGTAGTCGATTTGGTGCACAGCGCATTTGGGCTTACTCGGGTGTGCACGCCATCTGTAGATCCTTGTGAGCCTTGTGATACGCAAAACTCATCACTATGATTGCGCTCATGTTGAGGTCCCCTGTATGAGATCGCGTAGTCAGAGTTCAGGTCAGGTCGGTTCGTTTTGACTTTGCACTCTGATTTGTACTTCAAAGGTGCTCACATGCGACCCCTGCATAGATGTCGATCCTCTCAGATAATTGTGTTGTTTTATCTTCGGATATAGAGGATTCCTGAATACTTTGGGCAGAAATCTTCGTGGACGGTGCGTCGATACATCAGTTGTTGACAGTGTAAGGTCATTCGTATTTGAGCTCGCATGCTTGTCTTCAGAATCCGTTTGGACCTGTTCAGTAAGGCTTTCAATTTGTACGTGATGTAGGTACAACTTTTTCCCGGCTTTGTGATCTGATTCGTACTTCAGGGATGCTCACACACTACACCTTCGTAGGTATATCTGACGCAGAACGACCTCATTATGGGCACAGTTACCTTTACCGGGAGTGACGCAAGGTGCTGCAGTTCTTGTCTCTCAGTCTCATATATTTCTTGATGCCCTTCGCAGAAATTTCAGTGGGCAGTATGTCTACACGTCAAACATTGCCAGTGTGAGGATATTAACATCTGACCTCCCGTGATCGTCATTGAAATCCGTCTGGATTTGTTCTACGCCGTCTGTGATTTGGCATGGTGTGGGTACAAGCCTTCTACCTGCTTGTGCGTGTGTCACAGATGGTCGTAGCCCCCGGTTGACACGGGCGGCATGCTGTGCCAATTTCAACCTCTTGCCGGAATGTCTCAATGAGCCAATAATTGTAGCCTTGTCGTCAATGTCATGCTCTATTCTTCTCTAAGCAGTTCCATTTTAGTTTATGAGTCTGCAGCGAGAATATGGTGTTTTAGGCGGACAGATACAGACATTTTACCTGGGTATGCTGCGCCACAGCGAGGTCGTTGAAGATAACCTAGGTGAGTTCCATCGAATATCCTGCCGACTGACCACGTAGGGTGTCTCATGATGAGCGAAACATAGTTTTCAGACCTCGGACGGTGCATCTGATATCGCAGGCTTCAGTACTGACCTCGTGCAGACCGTGCAGATTAGGTAATATGTCGGAGCTTTCCAGTAACTGACCTGCGTCGACGATGGCCGTAACATCCAAATTGGGGTATAATGGCTTGTCTGGCTTGTCGTCACGCGCGTTACAAGATAATATGAACTCAATAAAAGCCTCCGCGGTTTCGAGCCACACACTCTCGCCGTCTCTTCCTTCACTTTCACTTTCCACCTCCACTTCACCCCCTCAAATTCCCTGGCCATGGTCGGCATTCTCAAGCCGAGACGATCTCTTAGGCTCAAAGATGTGAAGAAAGGTATGGATCCTCGTCGTTATCGTTGACCGATTTGCCCTGACTGTGGCCCGGCCACAGTTCATTACGACGAGTCCAGTGACGCCGGCTCTGTGCCCGATCTAGAGCTCAAGCCTAAGCATGTCAAACGGAAAATAAAATCATCAGACGACGAAGACGGCTATGAGCCGGACCGTGAGGCCACGCCGGTGGATGGGAGTACCCCAAATCGGAGAGTGAAACGCAAGGTCTGCATGTCGGACGACGCACGACAGCGAGCTGTCGACAAGTCTCCGAACAAAGGCGCCTGCATTCTATCGAGGCTCAATGACAGGACAGTCCAATTTTGCCACGTACTTCCACGAGCCACAGACTCGTCAGTGGTAAGTTGAAGTGGCT